GAGCATTGAATTCGATCCACACATCGGCCTGCTGGTTTTTGGACGTATCGTGGCTCGGGGAACCAGACGGGATCCGGTTCGTCTGAAGGCACGAACCCGTTCACTTGTTCATCCTCGTATGAACGATACACTTCATACATCAATGAAGCCAGATATGAAAACTTTTCGAACAAAAATTGTCTACTCACAGGTGGTCGGTTCAAAATCTGACAATCTGAAACCAGCAAACACTTACCGATCGATCGGCTTAGCTACCGAGCATGTTCGACTCATAGGAGGAGACAGGGTACGTCTGATTTGTCTCGTCCTAAGAATCAGAGTCTCAATAACAGTACTCACGCTTTTCGAAGCCTTACCAATTACTTACTGATTTTTAGCCTCTTACTTCCAGATGAATGTAAGTACAAATCATTCACGATAGTCAAGCTAAAGTGATAGTTGTGCTCAAAGACTGGCACAGATTCTACCTACTTCTTTGGAAAGCATGCCCTGCCCTAGTTGAGCTGCAGTGCAACCTTCTATGCACCAGTAGCCCATCTGGAAGGGCGTACGTTGTACAGAGATGTACTTGTCGTCCATGTTTGGGGTTAAGTTCCACCGAACTTACTAGCCGTTTAAATCCCAAGATTTCTTTCAATCAGCTGTCCAAAACAACTAATACTTGCCTAGTCTAGTGAGTAATGATTGCAGATCAAAGAAGCGGTCAGGCATTCGTGATTACAGACAACAAAATGAGCACACGCTTTAGGCAAAAATTGATCGGTTTTGTTTGCAGTTTTGTTTTTCTCCTACTCATCTTCACGATTATGTGTACGACAAGATCAAAAAACAATCCGTGAATATGATTCGTGAATTCTCAAAGATCGGAAAACATGACGGCCGTGCAGATATTTAGCAACAGATGAAGCCCGTGGGCAATTGGTGTCAACAAACGATTCCCCAAACCGGACGACTATAAAACAGCAGCATCTTTCAACTGATCCTTGGTTTATGGCTAATAAGGGTGACAAAATATGAAAACTGTTCTTTGTAACGTAAATTTGATCGTCAAGTAGTCTTTTCTATTGTGAATGTTATCGTATTTCTCATGTATACTTCACGGATGGCAGTTATCTAAGCTGTTCCGTAGCTTGGTTTTATCACTGCCCTTGAATGTATAAGGTTAGTGAGATGCGCTTCTGTCCTTCTCCATTCTATTGTGCCGTATTTACTTGTTTTTGATAGAAAATCGGAAAAAAAGAAAGGCCAAAATAAGTTCTTATGAAGGACCTTTTCGATTTGTTCTACTACTACTGCTGCTGTTACTTAGTGATAAAAAATCGTAGTGGTAATACACAAAGGTATGACTGTAGTCTACAAGCAAGAAAGACTGACTGTACCAAGCAGAAAAAAATACAAACTGCAACAAATCCGTCCTCGAAAGAAACGAAGCCGTGCGACAATATGGATTCTGCATGGCTAAAAATAGAAACAATCTTCTTACTTTTATTTATTTTTATAAACAACAATTGTACACTCAACATTTTGGAAGAACCCCGCGATAGATTGAGATATAATCAACAGTGAACGGGAATATAGGGAAATATTATCGAGGTTTAATTACGATAAGATGTTTGTTGGATGATTCATACCGTTCAACTGACACTGCCCAATTCCAGTCTTCATAAAACTGTCATAAAAAGGATAGCACGGTTGTACAAATCGGTGGTTTCCACATTAAACTGCTTTATCACAGATGAGTCAGGCTCGTCCAGATAATTGGAGGTTCAATAATTCATTTTCTCAGTCTCTATGAAAGCCAGCGAATGTTGATGTAGTCCACTCATATCAGTGTTTGTTCAGCGAGTACTTAGACCTATTTTACTCGAACAAGCGAATGAAAAGACCGCATGTTTGATGTGCTTCCCAACTGTACATGAGGCGTTCTACTGGACCGCATTTAAAATACTTCGCGCCAATAACAGCGATCCAGATGAGTTCTCAGTCTGATTTTCTTGAGCGCGACGAGCTTTGATGAAAATGGGTGTCCATCAGAAGATCCGTTATTGTATCTGTGTTATTGGACTCTGGTTACCTTCCTTTTCTGGTTACGGCAACCCCCATCAAAAGCTTGGCGCAAACTTAAGGGAGGGATACAGTTATCCAGAAGTGGCACTTTTTGTAGATAATCGAATCCGAAAGGAATTCAAATTAATCAACCCATCATTCACTCTAGATGTAGTAGGTTATTATTTTTCTCTTTCTAAACATCCTGCATAGTATGTTTTTTGAAGAGTGCTTAGTAATGTAGTTAAAATAGTTACGTAACTACGTCGTAGGTTATTTTGCGTCCACACGATGCGGTTCACCAATCTCAACAAAGTATTCACGATAGATCCGAATGCTAGACATCTTTGAGTAATACGATGATCACATTGGATGTGATTTATAGCCACCTCAAGGGCAAAAATATTCTAAATGATCGGTTTCACTTTCATCCAGATATGCAGATACATCACTAACAGACTAGCGGCACTCTATTTCCTTTCGACGTTGGTGAGCTCGTAGCGGGAGCCAAACGGTAACATTGTTGTTGGTTGTGTTCTCGGGTTCCACGATGTTCACTCGGTGGTTCATATCCTTCATTCATTTTGTTTTTGTCACATTTTTCATTGGTCTGTGCATTTTTGCTAGCACATGTTTTCCCCTTTTGTTTTTGGTGGTATTCAACTTTTCACTAGTGGACTCTCCTACTGTACCTATCCTGCTTAGTCTCACTGCGTTTTTTGTTAAGTTGAATTCAGTGTCTCGTTTTGTGCGTTATTTTTTTTGTCATTGGAGTGCACCACTTCTACGAATAACTCTCTTTTGATGTGGATAATATATATTCTATTGCGACATGGCAGTCATGCGTATGGAACCACTTCGCATAATTATTGATCAAACAGTTTGTCTTGTCTAGGCTAGGGCACAGTTATGATGTTGGGCGTGCCGATGTACCAAAATTGTTATTAATATATTTTTAAAATATTTTATACACCCTGCAGACAATTTGGCATTTGAATGTCGGAAAAATAAATCACTTAATCCAAATGTTTTCAAGAGAATTTTTGGAGTAGGGAAGGGTGGATAATGTTTGATGGAAACCGGATCCGGGACAATGACCCTATACCGCCGGATTCTTACGGCATTGTCTACTCGCAAACAAACAAATACATAAAATCACCGAAGATTCCCATAGGAATATCAAAAGCCAAACAGTATAGCGAACAAGCTTATATTCGTAACTTCATCTACAGGCCTTTACAGTTGTGTGCGTGTTTGTATATAATGTAGACATAAATGTGATTGGACCATGGAGGTTATGTATGAAAATGCAACGATGTCTATCAAATTTGATCAGAACGATTGGATAAAATGGGGACAGTGGGCTAAGGGGAGTGGGGGGGGAACAAAGGTCAATTCTGGAATTTTCAGTGACCTTTTTTCACGTGCCATTTGTCACGCCATGTTGCGTCAGCACGACACGACTGAGGTCGTGGTTCGGGTCATCACGTAGGTTTGGTTGGGGCCAAGGCGGCTGAAGTGCGGCAACCATCTTCTTCTGTTTGCACANTATTCGTAACTTCATCTACAGGCCTTTACAGTTGTGTGCGTGTTTGTATATAATGTAGACATAAATGTGATTGGGCCATAGATGTCAAGTATGAAAATGCAACGATGTCTATCAAATTTGATCAGAACGATTGGATAAAATGGGGACAGTGGGCGAAGGGGAGTGGGGGGGAACAAAGGTCGATTCTGGAATTTTCAGTGACCTTTTTTCACGTGCCATTTGTCACGCCATGTTGCGTCATCACAACACGACTGAGGTCGTGGTTCTGGTCGTCACGTAGGTTTGGTTGTGGCCAAGGTAGCTGAAGTGCGGCAACCATCTTCTTCTGTTTGCACAGTGGTGGGTTCATAATTTTGATTGCCACAGCTTCTGCTGTTGCCAAGTGACGTTTGCGAACCTGCTTTGATTTGTTTTGGGGTACTTTATAGACGACTTTGAATGCATCGTTGTCTGGCTGATGCCCGGTATCAGTGAGGTTGCCCATAATCGCACTGGTTATTGTTTTCTTGCAATCCGTTCTCAGCCAAGCCGGTTAATGTTCTCTGATCCTTTGGGAGAGCTGCCTCATCGTTCGTCCTACATAACTTGCCGAACATGTGCAAGTGAAAGAATAAGTAATCGTAGATGAGGATAGACAGCTTATCCTTGAGGTTTGTGTAGAGCTGAGGCCTGCTTGTGAACATCAAACGTAGAGTGGCGGCTGGAACTCTTCGTGTAATAGCTTTCTCCAGACGTCTTTTTAGTATATCACCACTCGAAACTCCTTTGAACGGGAGCTGCAAGAATATTTCTTTCTTGTTATCCGCAATTGATTTAGGCAAGGTGGACTTTTCTATGAGGTTCTCCTCGACGAACAGCTCCGGGTATCCGTTATTAAGGAGTGTGGATTTGATGAGTCTGAGTTCATCCTTCAATAGATCCTTGGAGCAGATCATTCGAGTTCTGAAAGCTAGGCATTGGACTAAGTTTCGTTCAAATTTGATGGGTGTATTGGCCGTTCCATGTTGGCTTACGAAAAATAGAACGGAATAACTTTTCACCGGACCCCGTCTTCAGGTTGACGTCGAGGAAGTGGAACCTATCCTCGTTATCTGTTTCCATCGTAAAGTCGATTGACGGATAATCTCGGTTTAAACGATCCAATATTATGTTCAGAAAGTTCTTTTGTCGTAAGGGATAAAAATATCGTTGACATAACGGCAGTATGGCGGGAGTTAATGCATGATACCTCGTAGTTAGTTCTTTTCCAGTTTGGCTACGATAACATATGCAAGGAGTGGGCCAAGTGGGGAACCCATGGCTACACCGTCCGTCTGTCTTTAGAATGTACCAATCAGGTTAACCCGTAGTTAGCCCGGAGGATATCGGAATAAAAGTTCCTTCAAATTTCTAGTTGGGATTCCAATTTGTATGTTTTCGCCATCAATGTACTAATAAAGGTAAGACACCGTCTCGAATAGTGGCAAATTTGTAAAAAGTTATTGTACGTCCAATGAGCTCATTGCCAAATCTTTCACGCCCAAGTCCCAAATTCGGTCGACAAATCAGATCAAATTAGATCATTAGATCATTATGTCGTCCAGGCGTATCAATTCCATATGGAGCACAGGTGCTTTAGGTAAGTGTGTAACCACTGTGCAAAACTAGCTGAGGAGTTCAGGAGAATTCCGAAGGACCCAGTGGCTCCCCAGGATAAGGAAAACAAAGGAAAACCAGAAGGTTACTTCTGCGTTATCCCCAAATAAATGTGCACCAATGAGATAAGTGGGAAACCGATACAAGGAGGTTAAACCACAGACCATTAGGCTTTTAAA